AAATTTTCTTTGCTCCCTGTGCWACATCCATTTTGGAGACATCTCTTCAAGATGCAGATGAYCTTCTGCTGATACCAACAGAWTTTTGTCATCAGCTTCAAGCTTTRGATGCAGCACCARYTGTGAYAGTGGCAGGCAATGCCATCATCCTTGCATCAGTTCAGTGGGCCACTTTCAGCTCAAATTCCCTTCCATGTGCCTGTTCTTACTCCCATCCTGTCTGTTCCACTGTCACACATGTGRTGGTTTAAGGAATTRATCTCCTTGAAAAATAATCAATTARTATTTTCAGATTGGGTCATTTTTCATCTGTCTCCTTCATATCTGGTGCAGTGTCCATCAGTGAGGTGCMGACACTCATTCTAAAAGCAAAGGTGGCAACTCAAACCAGTTAAGCACCAATGCTGGTGTCAAACTATCACTTCTGGTTTTCGCCAAGCAGTCAGATCCTGCCTTTTTCCCTTAGAACATCTCCTTTTCTATTAGAACATCTCCTTTTCTCTTAGAACATCTCTTCTCCTCCTGGAGCATCTCTTTTTCTCTTAGAACATCTCTTTTCTTCTCGGAACATCTCTTTTTCTCTCATAACATCTCTTTTTCTCTTAGAACGCCTAGAACATCTCTGTGTCCACTGACATATTTACTCTGACAGTCATGTGATTGTTTTCAACAAAAAAAAAAGTAGAATTTAGCTTTATTGATACAGGTTCCAAGTTGCTCATACCCCTAATCCTGCAGAACGTTTGCCCTGGAAGAAAGAGAGATTGTACTCAATTTTGCTTAATTAAATCAACCTAAACTAATTGTCAGCTAATAAAATAGTGTTGGTCAGCTCATAAAACAGAAATGGAGATTAAAAGAGCAGTTGCCATGAACAGGTGGTAACTCTGTTTCCAAGTTAGACCACATTACTCTCTGGCACAGAATCTCTGAGAATACCTCATATTCCAYTTTTTTTAAAAAAAATGTTTATGAAACTTATAAAATATAGAGCTCATTTTATAACCAATTTTCTATCTCACCTGCCAAGAGCAGTGGGGGTTGAGCCAGCACAAGGCGGATGCAGAGTTTTAGGCAGATGTCCAGAAATGGATTCTCTGCACAGGGCTGTGGAATACATTTCCACCTTTGACTGGCCTTTCTGTTGCAGTTTTTGAGATTTAGTTTTTTTCTTTCTCCTTGCTATTACAGAACATTTTCTTTAAAGTCATTGACCAGACACTGTTGTGCAAAGGGAGACACTTTCTGTGCTTGCTGTGGGTGCTGTCTAACTCTAGATGGATCCTGAGTTAGTTAATCCCTCTGGATTTGGCCTTTGGTGTTTTTGTTGACTCTGCAGATCTTGCAGAAGGCATTAAACATTTATCTCATTTCAGCTGGAAAGGGCTAAACTGGAGTCTTTCCTTCTCAAAGTAGAAGCAGAACTCGGTGGTTTGAAGTTGCTCTTAATGGTTGAATGATGAAAGAAAATTTATTGCCTAGTGATTATTCTATTATTTGGTTAAGAGTGCAAAACCATGTGGTTTTGAGCATTTTGTTCTGGCTTGCAGGTAGTGTGGGTGCTCTGTAGTGGTGCAGGGCTTCCAGCACCAAAGAGGCTTCTTGCCTTGCTGTTTTCTGTGCCCACCCATTCCCAGAAATCTCCTGCAGGATGGGCTTGGTTATGTTACCTCCTCAAATGTGGAAGACAAGATGAATTTCCTTCCCTTCCATAATCCATGTGCTGCACTGGTGCAGCTCCTCAGGCTGCTCTGGGTTAAAATGTGAAGCTTGATTGTTGTTTCTCTGCACTCCTCCTGCAGCTGATGTGCCCTTCCCTGGCAGGAGGGTAGCTCTTTGACCCAGGGTAACCAGTTCTGAGGCTTTTTGAGATTTGGCCTATGCTGGTATCTGACCTGCGTGAGGGAGCTTTGCTCTGCCTCCTCCCAGAGGAGAAGAATGTGCATTTCCCCAGCAGCTGTTTTGGGAGGAGGGGAAGGTGCCAGGCTGCATCCCAAACCCTGGAATGCTGTGTCTGCTGCAGCCAGGACAGGGAGCAGGGTGGGTTGGATTTCTGTGAAGCAGGGCATTGCTGTGGCTTGGTGCAGTCTTAAGGCAGACCTGTAAAAAGAAGATTTATCCACCCATCACATCTGACAGGAGCTGGAGCATCAGGGGGAGGTTTCTGTGCCAGGCTGGGACTGCCCTGCGTAGCTTCTGCTGCAAAATGGTCCTGGCCATGCCACAGGAAGGTCTCACTCAATAAATGTCATATTTTCTGTGTTTGTACTTATGTGACTGTGTGATGCAGCCAGGCTGCCGTGTCCTAGGAGTGTCCCACACCCCTCCTGGAGCCATAGATGGGGCTGCAGCAGGAGTTGACATGGCTTGGAGCCAGCTGGGGATGCAGGAAAGGCTGCAGCGGGGCCATCACCTCATTCCCACAGCATTTCCTCATGGCACACACTGCTGCCTTGAGCTGGTGGCAGGAGAAGGGCTGTGAGCAGGGCAGCACAGCCTGTGCTGGCTCATCTGACAAAAACCATGGCAGGAATTTATGGCAAATCCCCGTGGGGTTCTGATTTACCATGTCCTTGCTGAATGAGCATCATTGAATCCCAAATCTTGGATTAAACTTGCTGAAAACATTCCCCACACTGGTGATCCTGTGAGGGTCTTGGGGTCAGGTCCTGCTGAGACATGATTTCAGTAAGGAAAAAGGAGTAAGACAGTGCTGTTTTTTTGTCACAGAGGACCTGTGCTGCTGTAACTGTTTTCTTCTTTATTTTTTTCCTTTAATATTTTTAAAACATTTGTAGAGCTGTACCAAGAAGGAATTCCCACCTGGGCAAACACCCCCAGTTCAGCACAAACTCAACCTTACGCTCTGATTCCAGGCAGTTTTTTTGTCCATCCACATGTCCCAGGCTTGCCCAACATTATGAAACATCTCCTGGGAGTCACTAGACCAGTCGAGTCTCCATTTATTTCCCTCAAAAATATATTTAGGGGGAATTTGACTGTGGGAGTGGACTCAGCCCCTTATCACTGCCTGTGTGCTTTGAAGCTTGAGTGACACGGCAGAGCTGGAGGAATATTAGAGCATCACTCCTCCCAAGAAATGTGTGTGGGCTTCAGTGACTCTTTGAGGGTCCTGAGCAGCTCCAGACATTGTACAGATTTGCACTGGTGAAAGCTGACCAGCATCTCCCGTTCCTCACAGTGAGGATGAGCAGGAGGACCGTGAGTAAATTGGCTGCTCAGCTTCCCAGGCATTTCACAGAAACATCCAGGACTCCAAACTAACAAAAAACACATTCAAAGCAATCATCTGATCTTGTTTGGTTGGTTTTAATGTGATGTTTCTAGACAGTGGTACAACAAACACATTCTTGTAAACTCTTGTAACAGTTGTTTGCAGTTAGTATCTTCAAGATGTTTTTTTGTGAGCTGATCATGACTAATATCCATCACTTCAGTGGGACCATCACCCTCCAATGCTRGGAAGTTTTTCACACTCAGACAATTATTTTTCTCAGCTTGTTTTGCATTTTTCTTGTTCCTTTTATTGCCCTTTTATTCACCAAACACAGATACCAATTTGCTCATATATGGTGCTTTCCAGATGAAAGTGCTTTGTGGTTCACAGGCTTTAATAATTAGGTCTTCACAGACTTCAGGCTGGTTAKAAAGGCAGTTGGAGTCATCATCTCTGGTTTTACATTTGGAAACAGAAAAAGACTGTAGAGGGAAGGTAACCAACCCAGTGACAAGCTGTGGGGCAGACACCCCCTCTGAAGTGTGCTCTGTTTTTCTAAGCATTTGGAGTTGTTGCTGTGCCCATGCTGCTAAAGGCCTCTCCTCACCTTGACTCTTCTCGTTGTCACAAAGCTCATTTTTAGCTGCTGGGAAGGTGCTGGGCTCTCCTCCCCGGGGCTCAGCCAAAGCCACAGCAGCTGCTCTCTCTCCTTGCACCCGGGACTGTTTTTTCCCCACCGTGCACGATGGAAGCAGGGATGCCGTTATCCCAAAAACCCACCCCAGATCCAGTCCCAGCCCCTTTCACCCTCAGCCAGCAGGGATGCCACAGCCCGTGCCCCTCAGGAGGTTTGTCTGAGGCTCTATTTCGTGGAAGCACGCTCTGCAGAGGTGGCAGGGGCTGTTTTACCCCCTTTTCTCCCTGGGTGTGTGCTGGGCATGCCAGGGGTGCCGTGCTTGGGCAGCAGAGAAGCTTCCAGTCCTCTCCAAGGTTTTGCTCCATCAGCTTGTCACCAAAACTGTGGGGRAAACAACAGCTCTCCAACAACATTTTTAATGTTAGGGAGTCAAGGCATTACTTTATTTTGTATTTTGGCCAGAATGTGCCACTGAAATAATTTCATCCACACACAGCCCAGGTGTGCAGAGAGAATCATTCCAYGGCACATGRATTTTAYAAGATTTYCCCCARACTTTATMCAGTCAAACCCCAGAGAACTCYATTGGTTCAATGTTCATTGGTCCAAAGTTGCTCAGTTCTCAATATTTGGGTTCCTGTTGGATCTGGATTTCTTTGCCTCTGATCTTCATTAGGTTCTCCTTCTTATCTGTCTTTTCCCAGTCCAGGTGTCTCTGAACAACCAAGGGGGAGGTTTGGGGCTGATGTTCTGTTGATGGTCACTGATGGCTGTTGATGGTCATTGATGGTCACTAATGGTCACTGGTGGTCTTTGATGGTCACTAATGGTCACTGATGGTCACTGGTGGTCACTGATGGTCACTGATGGTCCTTATCATTTGTGCTTCTCCCCCTGTTGAGCTGTTCAGCTCCTCAGCCCTCACCTGGTGGAACAATGCCTTCAAAGGAACTCCAGCGCCTTCCCCAGGGCAAAGGTGAACAAAATCTTTGACTGAAATTACATAAAAATTTTTAAACTGGTTTATTTTCCAACAAGCTGAGTGARCTTTTCCTCTGCTGAGCCAGCACTGGGCAGGGCAGGGTGTGAAGGAGCCCGGTGATAATTCCTTGTCTCCCCCCGCAGGTTCCTCCGGCCGCCAGCGCGGGTCCTTCCCCAGCCCGGACCGTAAGTGGGCACCACCGAGAGGCAGAGCCCGGAGCAGTGGGGGGCACTCCTGGGGAGGGGGGCTGTGCCAGCCTGGGGTGCCCTTTGCTTCTGGGGAGAGGCTTTTGGGAGGGGGGGTCCGGGAGTCCCTGCCTGCTCTTTGCCTCAGTTTCCCTCCAGAATCTGTGGAAGGGAAGAGGGAGCTGGGAATGGCCTGCTTCTCTCTGGGAGCTGCCCAGGTAGTTCCTGATGGGCACTGGGAAGGGCCATCCTGCTTGCACCTTGCTCCTTCCTGCTTGGTTCTCTGTCTGAGAGAGGACACCATGCTCTGGGGCTGTCCCAGGGTATCTGCTGTGCTCTCCTCGCTGTTAAAACTCTGTTCTCCCCAGCCTGCTCATGCTCCCCATCAGTCTTTGGGGGTGGGATGCTGAGAAGAGGCAGAAATGGGGTTACTGGATGAGGTGGGTGCTCAGAGGGATGGCGGCTGTGGCATTGTTGGCAGCTGCAGGTTCTTCCATGAGAACAGAGGTTCCTCAGCTGCTGGCATCCACCAGCTACTGGTGTTGGGGTGTGCTGGTGCCTCTGAACAGCCTCCCCTGAGAAAAGCAAGCCGGTTTGAAAGGCTGAAAGTGTGAGAAACAAAGCCCACTTCTCTGTTTGATTTTTAGAAATTTAATAAGGCACAAGAGGGGACAAAATCAATAAAGCAGAAGTCACAGTGCCGGGCCCACAGCTGCAGCCGTGGCTATGGCACAGTCACTAACAACAACAACAACTTCCTTTGATATTCTTTCTATTGCATTAGCCAAATACAAAATCAGAAGCAATTATACGTATTCAAACATTTTTTCACACTGGTTTGCAAATTTTAGGGGCTGCTTCAYAGTCATCTTTGTGGTCAGGGGCAGTTATTCTTGTCTTGGTCATCTGTTATTTCTTAACACATCCAACAGGCTTCGACATCCTCAGTACAGCAGTTATTGCAACAACTCTTAACCAACATTAGCATTAATATATCTGTAGTTATTTTTTAGTAACTCTAGTATTTTTTAGTATTAAAATAACTCTAAGCCTTAGCGAAAGCCAATATCTACTTCCTCAAATACATTAACTATGTCTGCAAAATCATTTCTGCAAAATCACCCTTATAATGTACAATACATAACATCTACGTTAATGTGTGCAAAAGCCAGTATTATAATATATATTTGTCACACTCTAATATCTGCGAAAGCCAGCACTGTAATATGTGTTTATCACACAAGACTGATTGAAAGCTGGTTTGTGTTTGCTGGTGCATGAACTGTTTGTCTCCAAACCCGTGCTAAAAGTGGCTTGAAAGTTATCTGGTGCAGGTACAAGACCTCAGCCAAGGTTTGAAATTCCAAAATGTGTCTCCAGTGATGGTCAGTACCAGTGAGGAGCAGGAATTCACATGGGAGTCTTGGTATCTGGTGGCCACGAGCAGGTTCTGTGGAGGATGGGATAGCAGAGGAGTTATCCCAGCTGGGCTGGGCAGGCAGGGCTGTGACAAGAGCTCTCACTGCTCCCCTTGCTGAACCCAGCAGAGAAATCTGCGTCCCACAGCCCAGAAGCTCCTGTAAAGCCTCAGGTTAGGAGAAGCCCCAGTCCTTGTGCCCACACTCTGCGGAGATGTGCTCTGTGCTCTACCCTCGGGTGTCACAGAACTGCTGATTCCTCATGGAATGGCTCCTCAGGGTGGAATTTTCTGCAGTCTCAGGCACAGCTGGAGGAGTGGGAAGCAGCCAAGTGGGCAGGGAGGGCAGCCTGGGAAGGATCTGCCTCAAATCTACTGCTCTGCATCCCTTGGGTGGGACTCTGAAGGTGCCCAACACCATTCCCTGAGCTCACTATGGAGACCAGAGGGCATCTGGAGTCTGTAACAGCTTCCTTGAAATTCTTAGTTTTTATTGGATCGGAAAAAAATCAATATCTGAACAGAGAACAATCCTTCTGTGTGGTGTTGCCTTTTTTAACCTAGAAATGAAACTTGAGATGATTTTAGTACAGGAGGTGATGTAAAAGTGAGYCTTTATTGGAGCTCYAGGGGCAGCCATGGAGAAACTTCCACAAAARTCCAAAGGGGCTTATAAATAGAAAGGAGAGGAACTTCTTACATAGGCAAATAGTGACAGGACAAGGGGCAATGGTTTAAAACTCAAAGAGGAGAGGTTTAGATTCGATGTTGGGAAGGAATTAYACCTTGTGAGGATGGGGAGGCYCTGGCACAGGGTGCCCAGAGAAGCTGTGGCTGCCCCTGGATCCCTGGAAGTGTCCAAGGCCAGGYTGGACGGGGTTTGGAGCACCCTGGGATAGTGGAAGGTGTCCCCTGCTCATGGCAGGAGATGGAAATGGATAATCTTTAAGTTCCTTTCCAACCCAAACCATTCTGTCCTTTCATGATTTATAGGTTGGTTGGATTTTTAAAGTTTTTTTTTGACTGTRGAAGGAATCCTCCTTCTTGGCAATCTGGCCTGGGATTCCTCCTGTTGCCTGATGTTTGAAGGCTTCCTTCTGTGATTTGATTTTAGTAACTCAGCTCCCAAATGCTGCTCTGATTTTGGGATGTGGGTTGAACACTTTGGAAGTGTGGGGTTGGGCAGCGAGGCAGAGACAGCATTGTTTGGATGTGGTTATGAGGCTTTTTCTTCACCCTGGTGATCTGCACCCCAGTCCTTTGGGACTGTCACTGCAGCCATCTGGCCTCAGGAAAGGTGGGCAGGTAGCACAGTGCTGTGTTTGCTGCTGGGAGGATTTCAGAATCCTGAGTTGCTGCTGGATTTCCCAAATGCGCAGGAAGGGCTGGGTGTTTTTCTTCTTTCGTGGGCTCCTGAGCCCTGCAGTAAAGATATTCCTGCAGATGCTCCTGGCTGCACCCAGGCACTCCCAGCCCTTCCCAAGRTGGGTGTCTCTGCCTGGCCTTTGCTATTGGCTGCTTCTGAGGCTTCAGCCCATTAGAAACTTCAGTTTCGGGGAGTGAAGCGGAATTTAAACTATCCGAATACTGTCCTTTGTGTCAAATCAAGTGATTTGTTAAAGTGAGGCCAGATTTGTGGGGAGAATCAATCTTTTTTATTMGATCAACTGATGTGGAAAAAGCAGACAAACTTTGAGGCACATTAACCCTTCTCCTTGCGGGTGTTTGTGCCGCAAGAATGAAGAGACCTGTCTRGGGAGGCTGTGCTTTAGGTTGTGCATTCCCTCTGACTGTTCCTCAGCACTCTTGGTCTGAACACAGGCATGGGTGGTATTTCTGGGTGTGCTTGCACGGTTTTTGGGGAGGAAGACTCGCCACCCTCTGTGTTTGGACACTAGATGTTACTGCAGAACAAATAACGGGCTCTGCTCCGCAGCTGACTCACTGTGCGACTCTGGGGCTAATTACCCGATCCCTCTGTGCCTCCATTTCCATCTGTAGAATGTCACAGATGCCCACCATTCATAAACRGCTTTCAGATTTCCAGATGAGGTGCTGTGTAAGTGTGGAACAGCATCGGTTTGTGCACATTGTGCTGGAGGATAATAGGAACCACATGCGGTGGAGGAGCCTCGCAGATGTGCCTCCCTCGCTGCTGATGATTTAGCACAGCACTAATTGCGCTAAAAGAGGGGATTGCCTTTGTTCTGATGCAATTGTCACCATTAAAGCCCTCATTTGCCCGTGGCTAGCGGAGATAGCTCAGCGATCCCCCGTTGAGGAGAGCTGCAGCGCCCTGCCTTGAGATTTTCAGCGCATGAGTTCGCTTTTCCAGCACCTCCACACCTCTGGAATGGGACTGGCCATGGATTAGTGGGAATGTGCATTTTGCTTGGTCTCCAGCTGCATTTAGCACATTTTTGCTGGCACATCCTAATCTCCAAGCTGAGGCATTCCCGGTGCCATTTCTGGGTGTTGCACATGCAGGAATTCCCATTTATCGATAAGAAAAGCTGTGGGAGAGCGAGAGCCTGGCAGCTGCTCAGCGTTAGGTCAGTTCTCAAAGTTTAAAGGATTTGTGGGCTGTGATGGTTTGGGTTCAARCAATTAACTCTCAGGAAGGGGCTGAGAGTGTCTTGCAGACACATTTCATRGAGAAAGATGAACCAGAACAGTTAAGAGCTCTGATTTGATTAAGTGCCCTCGAGTTTCTGTATGGTGCTGTTGGGGCTAAACTCTCAGTGGGTAGGAAACCTAGAAGCTCTTTGGCTGCAGGACAATTATGGCTGTTGCTTCCCACTGCAGTCTGGCCCTGTKCTTGTTTTAAAGTGCCAAAACCAGTCCTGCTGCCAGCAGCATCCCCTGGCAGCCGGCACCGGTGACCTCTGCGGCTCGAGCTGGGTCATTTCAMAGCCCTGCTCGGAGCTGATTTGCAGTGTTTTGCTGCCTGGTGCTCGGAAGTGCCTGCTGATGCTGAGCTGTTGTGAGCTGGTGTGGGACTGGAGGGGCTGGTGGTGTCTCTGGAGGGATCCAGTTCCTGCTCAGTGCATCGCAGGCAAATCGCACTGTTCTGGGTTTGTCCATTTTGGGGTCACCAGCTCTTACCCCCATTCCTCATCGGTGCTCAGAGGGAGGGTCAGAATTCACTGTCAAAACCTGCACAGCTGTCAGAGTAACACAATATTGAGTGCATGGGTGACAGGTGTGGGAGAGAAGGTTGGCTGACACTCAGCCTTACCCAGCACTCGCCGTGCTCCAGGAGAAACCTCCCCGGATGCTGGGCCTGCATTCATGGGGCTAAACTTGTCATTTAAGGCATTATTTTAGGGGAGTTTCAAGGTGGAATCAGCCAGAACCTCAAAATAAAGCTCCTCAAGSTGCCACCAGCGTGTGGTCTCTCTGGGGACATGCTGTGCTGCTCGTGGGTCAAAATCACAGGTCAGAGAAAGTGCAARTAGAAAAATGGTGATTAAGGGCTTGGTCCCATCAGACACTGASTGGATCCCCAGGTTTGGGAAGCATTCAATGAGTTTTGGGTTAAAMCAACAGAATTCAGGAATCCTGGAAAACATTTTGATTCTGG